CTTGGTTATCTTTTCGATTTTCTAAAAATTCATTTCGCTGGTCTGGTCCAGCTGGCTGCACAATGCAAAGGCGATGCAATCGCCGACTGATAAAGGCAGTCGGGTGGCCAAGTTAGAATAGTTGAGCGTGGGGCTCGTTGGTGTGCCCGGTCCAGTGCGGACTGGACCAGAACACGGCGCAATGCGTTATGCTGCTCCAGTCGGTGCTCGGTGCTCGGTGCTCGGTGCTCGGCACTCGATCAAATTACTTATTGTAGCCGCGCCGCAGGATGCGCAAGTGCCATTAATACAAATAAAGTGACACAAATACAGGCAAGGCCCAAAGGCATGCGGATGGCGGGCGGAGGGGCAGGCAATAAGCGAACCATGACTATGGGCAGGTATCGCAGTCGCCTTGCCTTTTATGCCATAACTGGCCATGGTGCTGCCAGGGCCATAACTTTTGCCTGCTGCAGATTTAGCCAAGTGGAAGACTAATCTCTGAATTCGCCAGCAGCAGCAACGGCAGCAGCAGTAGCAGCAAAACTTTGAACAATGGGCAAGAAAAGTTTAGAAACTAGTAGTCGGTGAGCATGTCAACTGTGCGCAAGAACAACGAACAGCATTTTGCTTGACGGCGGGTGGTCGGACGGTTCGAACGGCGCTGCTGCTGCCGCTGCTGCTGTTGCTGGGCGTCGCTATGCAACGAGGCGTTAAAACAGGCAACCTATCAGGTGTGGGAGGCTGCGGAGGGTGCAAAGCAACAAAAAGTAGGAGCGAAAACGAAACAGAAACACAGAGCACAAAAACAAACGCTGCTCGAATTACAAGAAGGTGCAGTCGATTAAGCTCTTTGATAGATTTTTCAATTTGCATCCTTGCTAGCTGGGCTAAACAGTTAAGGCGCACGATTTGTTGACTCAAATGCTGCAACAAAGCGGCCTTCAATTTGCTGTCTGTCTGTCAGTCTGGCTGTCCGGCAGATAAATAGCGCCAGAGAAGGTCACACAGCGCTGAGCTGGGCTGAAAGGGCGTCTGAGTTCGCGGCTGCTAACCATCGCCCTTTCCTACTCTCTCCCCCTCTCCCACTCTCTCACACTCTCTGTCTCTTTCGCAAAGGCGACAACAAGAAGGCGAACAGAAAGCCGACAGCTGCCCTTGAGCTGATGTCAGTTTGGCTAGGGCTTTTTTTTTTCCTCGCTTTTTTTCCTTTGCTCACATACACACACATAAAATGCTTAAAGCGGGTAGATTAGCTGCGTGCTGAACTAGAACTTGGCTAATGTGCGCAGTTAGTGGCTGTGAAATAAACTGCATAAGATATGTCCCAGAGTAAAAGGTGAAACTAGAGTTTATATGGGGTGGCGCGAGATTAATTGTGCTTTCTCTTTTTGTGTGCGGCAACATTCCCAAATGGATTTGTACACGTATTAAATGAAACGAACTCGTTTCACTGCGGATGCACTGCTAAAATATAAATGGATATTGCATAATATATAAGCCGGTTACATCAACTTTGTAATCAGAGTTTTACTTAAAGAATTCTGAATTAGATTAAAAAAAAAAAAAAATATGTAGAAACCGTTTGTATAGTCCTTTTATACATTTAATATTTTTTTGCTGGGCATACGAATGAAAATATTTACGAAATATTACAAAATTATAAATATATAAATAACTATTTCCTATGTGTATTATTTTTATATATTGTTTTTATACTTAATAAACCAAATTTTAAAATTTGAATAGTATAATATTTGTTAATTTTAAATTTAAATTTTTATTTATTTGGCATGTATTTTAATATTATTTATAATTATTTTAGAAATAAATAGTTACTTCCTTGCCTTATAAATATACTTTTGATTATATACATAAGTCGTATATTTGATATAATATTAATTTTATAATTTTAAAAATATAATTTGATTTGTCTTAATTTAAAATTTTCTTCATGTAGTATATCTTTTTT